CGACCCCCCCACCCCCGGCCCTGGGAGGGGGGAGAGGCTCAGAGCGTGACCCCCCGTTCCTCTAACTCGGTGTTTTGATCCCTGTCCTGAGGAGGAGGCACCCTCGGGGTGTGTGTGTGTGCTGGAGGAGGCTGAGGCTTCCCCAGGCTCTGCTCTTCCTCTGACCTTGCACCGTGTGTTCACCCTGTACTGCTCTTCCCTGTCCTCTTCCCTCTGGTCTGGAAAGGTGCACAAATGCCTTTCATCTCTTCCCTGACTATTGGTAGTGGGAATATACCCAGTTTCTCTGAGTGCTTGGGGGTGCTGACTTGTTTCCTTCTGGTTTCCATACTGAAAAGCAGCACAGACACTTCTAATCCTCCTGGGGTTTGTTGACCTGAAGGAGAAGATCCCTTCCAGTTCTCCTTTTCTGCCTGCCCTTGATCCCTGTGCATGAAGGAGTCGCTGCAGCTGGGCCCCTCCTGACATCTGTCAGCTGGTGGGAGAGGCTGGTGTCAGACAAACACCTCCTTTCAACAGTGTCTTAACATTGTAGGCTTTGCTCCTAGAAGATGCTGATGACTGGTTGGTTTCTTCTTGCAGGAAAAGACTGTCCCCATCCCTGAAAAACTGAATGAGTGGGCACCACGACCTCCCCCAGAGTTTGTTAGAGATGTGATGGGTAAAGATTTTATCTTCAGATAACTCCACATTACACTCGGCTGCAATAAACTTAGAAAAGTGTTTTAACTGTTGTTTTTCTGCTGTTGCTCGTTTCACTGGAGAAAAGAGGTATGAAATGTGCTTCCAGAGTTGCTTCTCCAAGTTTTTATTTGATTCTTGGGTTCACTTTCCTGCTTCTTGGCAGAATGCAAAGCCAGCAATGCCTGTGGCCCTCCAGCACATCTACTGCGTGCAGTGACATAAGCTGCTGCTGCTCTGGTGATGACAAGTAATTGATGATTAGTAAATCTGTCCTTTGCACAGATCTGAGAGTGCTCTGGAAACTTATTATTGTCATAAGTCCCTCTTGTGATTGCTGTGAGTCTGAATCCCAGGGAGTGAGAAGCAGCAGAAGTGGCTGTAGGTGGTCAGGTAGAGGATGGGCAGCTGGGTGAGGAACCTGGCCCAGCTGTTCTGCTTACACTTTTACCTGCATAGATCACATGTAATAGTTGTGGCCCAAATTTCATCTGCATGTAGAAGTTCTGTCTTTGGGACCTTGTTAATGATCCTTTCCAGAGGCTGAGCTCTTATTTCAGTGTGATTGATCTTGGACTAAAGGCTTTTATACACTTCTGAATAAGCTGGTTATTGTGATTCCCTCATGGCCTCTTCAAATAGCTTTGCTGTGTGCTTGAGTTGAATTGTCTTGTTTTCCTGGGAGCACCTGACATGCTGGGGTTCTTTTGATAACAAGAGCACCCCTAATTCAGTCCCAGCTGTTGTGTTTTAATTATTAGATGTTTTCTTTGAGACATATATTATTGGTGTGCTTTGTGTGGAGAAAATGGCTTGGGAGACAGAGGAGGAGACTGGAGAGTGATGTTGGAAGCTCCTGTGAGACTTCCAACACGCAGACTGATGCCAGGAAGCTACAGAGAGCTACAGAGAGTTAATTTATGAGGAAACAGTCAAAATCTGTCAGTGGGATCTGGCTTGCATGGGAAACTATAACATGATGGGCTTTATCACCTCACAGGTCACCTTTATGTTTTGTATGAGATGCTGAAAATGAGCGAAGAGCAGCCTCAGTAGGGTGTTTTAGTTTATCTGTGCCTCAAAGAGAGTGGGGTGTGCATTTGATCTCTAGTTGTTTTAGGGCCTCAGTGTCCAGCTTAAGATTGGATTCTCTGGAGGAGACTAACTGCCCTGTAGAAGCTGCAATGAGCCAGAAGTGACAGGTTTGCAGCTCACTTGGGCTTTTTGTGAGGGATTCGAGCTAATCTAAATTGGTGACACCTGCGTGTTGTCAATAGATTGTAATTTTACAGTGCCCTTCCATCTGTCTTGTCCCTCAGCATCCAACTGTAGTCATTTATGAGCATCCATTGTGTGTTCTTTTCTAGTGCAATAACTGTTCTTTACTGCAGGTTCCAGTGCTGGAGCTGGGAGTGGGGAGTTCCACGTGTACCGACATCTTCGGCGGCGGGAGTACCAGAGGCAGGACTTCATGGATGCCATGGCTGAGAAGGTCAGCAGGACTCTAATTTCCTCCCCTTCCAACTAGTTGGTCCCCATCTTTATTTTATTTTGAAGTCATGTACAAATAATTCTGTTCTGACCCACCCCTCATCAGAGGAAAACTGACATGTGGTATCTTTGTTGGTATCAAAATGTGGTGCTTTGTGTCATGACGTGCTCTGTTTTCTCTGTTCACCGGGGTCCTGTCACACAGTGAGACCACACAGGAATGTGTGTGTTCTCAGGTTGGTTTGAAAATGCTTTAAAAATGAGATCCCTCTTAGCACTGTCTTGCACAGAGTCTGTATCTTTTTTAATTCTTGGTCAAATAGAGTAGCCCCTCTTTCGGAGAGTGTTGTTATCCTCTCTTGGCCAAGATGAGTCCTTTGATCCATGCATTACTGTTTGTGTCTCTAATGATTCCATGGTTTTTCTGAAACTTTCTTTGAAGCCCAACCTTCCTAATCTTTTTTGAGGAGGATTCCTCCCTCTAAAGGCTTCAATGTTTCAGGTTGAAAACACTCTGTAGAGATGTCATCCCCAGCAAACGTGGCTTTTGTATAAAGAACAGACAAAATCTGGCAAAGCTCCCTTCTGTATTTTGCTAAAAGACTTCTCCCTAGAAGGACATGACTTTTAAAAGGAGTATTTTAATTTAGTTTGTGACCGAAATATGGCATCTCATCAATTACAGCAAAGACTAGATGAGGAATTCCAGAAGAAACTGGAGAGGAATAAGATGATTGCAGAAGAACAAACAGCAAAACGCAGAAGGAAGCGGTAAGGGCAGATTGTTCCCAGGAGGCTTGACATGGCAGCCCTCATGCCCTGTGCCTCATCTGGAGCTGCATGCTGTGGGTAAATGCTGTCATTCTGTGCCTGTATCTATCAGCTGAGCAGTCTGGCTGCAGGAGTTCATTTTGCTAATGTCACTGTTTGGTTTCTAAGGGTAGCTGTGAACTCAGCAGGCTTTGCTGGCACTTCCTGTGCCATCGCCAGCACGAGCAGCTTGGGCTAGTTGAGCAGCTTCTGCTGACACTCTGGTGGTGACTGCAACGTGCCTGACTGCCTATTTGCTGTGACAGTGTCAGGAAATATGAGTGTACATCTGGCTTAAATAAATATTGGAAGCAGCTGCCACGGAGCAGCTTAAGTGCAAAAATGGGGAGCTGCTTAATAGGTATGTGTATGGATTTGGCCTAGCAGAGTGCAGTGAAGCCTGGTGCTGCCCTCCATATGTTTTCTGTGACTAGTTCAGCCCAACCCCTGAGTACTGAAAAGGCCACTGATGGGTGCAGTATTGTTATAATCAGTAGCTGCTTCTACCTGCCTCATTACAATATCTGGCAGGTGAAATCTGGCATGTTAGATGTAAGAATTAAAATGTAAGAATTTAAATTCTCCAGTCTGTGCCCACCATGCCTTGCAGACCTAGCAGGGTGTCAGGGCTGGGCTCTTTCAGAGGGCCTGGCCCTCAGCAGCCTCTCTCTTGCTTCCTTGGGAATGAGGGTTGTACATCCTGCAGCCAAGAGCTGCAAGTCACGCTGCAAAGTGACTCACTGGCATATTAACACAGAAGTGCACAACACAAACACTGTTGCCATTTCTCTTTAACTGAGTGTGGTCCAACAGATGGCCAGCAAGTGGGATCTGGCCTGCTGCCTTTTCCTGGCTGAGATGGAGAACAACTGCTCTGACAGCAGATGCTGCCCCAAGCACTCAAACACCTCCTTGTCCCCCTTCTGTAGCCTGATGGTGTAGGCACCCAGCAGCTTTGCCCTGTAGAAGCCCCTCTGTCTTCCCTCACAACCCTCTCTCTTCTGTCCTGACCTAACAGCTACAGTACTTGGCTGTTTCAAGATAATTCATTGATGGTCTTGAGAGAGGAACATGAAGCCTGGGTTTCTTTGCCCTGTATCTGCCTGGTGACCTTTCCTAAGCAAACAGAACAGGGTCCTATGAACTGAAATTCCCTCTTCCTCCTAATGTTGCTCCTGGGGCCCAACATACTAATGAAGTACAGCCAAAGATTAAGATTAAAGCATATTGATTTTTTTTTTTTCTCTCAATGTTCAGTTCCAGCCACCTGGGTTTTTGCACCATTTTCTCTTTGTTTATTAGGCTGGGTGACTAAAATGTAGAGGCAGTTTCATTTTGGTTCCTTCCATGTCCTTGCACATTCTTGCACGTCACATAATTTTGGTTGCAGTGACATCATGGAATGCTTGTGGTTTTTTTTAAACTAATCCATTAGACTAAAAACAACATGGAGAAGTTTCTGTTGATCATGTATCTAAGTTTGTTGTCACTGAATTTTCAGTTGAGGCCAAATTTGAACTGAATTTCTTTTCTGAAGTCTGCTTTTCCAAGGTGTCTGTAACATCTCCTTTATCAGTGAATGTGCAGAACTTTATGTTTGTTTTGAAAAAGAGTCCTTTTTTTGCTTTGCTTTATAGCCAGAAATTAAAAGAGAAGAAGCTGCAAGCTAAGAAAAACAAACTTGAACAAAAGAAGCAGGAAAAAGGTCAGTGAAATTTAGTTTTCTTAAGACTTAGTTCTCTTCTGTAATTGAAGCCTAGAAAGGTTTGTTCCACCCCCTGCCCTGGGCATTCTGAATACATGGATAGGAAGACTGAGCCCTAAGGGTGTTATTTTAGTTAATGTTTGAAGAGTCCTCTTTGACAGCCATCTATGTTGAGATCTAATCTTACTATTAACTTGACATCTTCTAATAAAGGCAGTATTGTCAAAGGCTGTTCTTTTTTAAAATGTATTTTGAACATGTATGGGAAAACAGGTGGGGAAAAATGCACAGCTTGGGACAGCAAGAAACTGAGTCAGGGTTGTGTGTGTTAAGAAACTGAGCCACCTTGGTGCCATCTGTTCCACATGACTTATTTCATGTAGAAATAAAAGTGGAAAACCTGACTGCCTCTTGTTCTGCAGCCTTGAAACTTCATGTTCAGCAATGCCAGGGTAGCTGTTTGCTCAGACTTGTGAATACTCCTTGCTTCCTTTCAGTGGGTGTATTTTAGCTTACTCTTTCAAATAGTTGACCTTTGTGGGGTAGCACACCAAGTCTGCAGGAATTCTTAAAGTGACAACAGTTCCTGATAATTCTGTTAGAACAGTGGCTTGTCTGACAGTTCCACCTTATTTCTGCTTTGCTTTTCAGAACTGGATCAGTTTCAGCTGAACCATTGCCAGCCTCCTGTGTAAACATGGGAGGACAAATTAATCATTAGGCTAATTTTACTTGTGACAGCAAGTGAATGTAGCAGAGCGGATTTTTTTTTGGTGTTTTGTTTTGGTTCTGGTGTTTTTCAAAGCTCTACCCCTTTATGAATTGTGACTGGGAGGAGAATTTGAATATGAGTCAACATACTTCTATTCCTTTTGAGTGAACAAAACAATACCCATCCCTGCAGGGAGTGGCTGGGAGAGAGGGGAGCTGGGTCAGGCACTGGCACTGTGGTATGGGACTGCCAGGTACCACTTGTTGGGCTGGAGGGGTTTTCTTTGGCACAGATCACCTTCTGGAAGCCAGAATCCAAACTCCCCTGTGTCTAGAACAGTTCACAGCTCTTTAGAGTTGGTGGTTCTCTATTTAAAAGAATAATGACAATTTTTTAAAAATGGAGATGGGTACACAACCTGGAATCTGATGCAGAGGTGATAACAGCTTTTGGAATGTCTGCATCATTTCTATTGCTTTGTACCTTTCTGGAAGACTTCAGTGCCAGGCAGAAAACAGCTTGAGAGGGGTTTTTTTTTCTGATCTAATCCTTAGCTCTCTTTAATTCTTAATAAAAGCAAAATATTTAGTATGTTATACCTGGAACAGGTTGCCCAGGGAAGTTGTAGGTGCCCCATCCCTAGAAGTGTTCAAGGCCAGGTTGGATGAGGCTCTGAGCAAGGTTGAGATCTGAGAGTTTTTCCAAATTAATTGAAGTGCATTTGCTGAATGGGACAGGCAAGGATTCCTCTTCCTTTTTTGAAGAAATGAACAAAACCTCTGAGTTGCCCTCTTTCACCTTTATTGTAGTAAAAAATATTCAGAATAAAGATCAGCTGTTCAAGTTGCATTATTATCCAGACCCCTAGTAAAAAATGGAAAGTACAGAACTTGGCCACGCGGTGGCATCAGCCACTAATCCCAGAGCCTCCCTGTAGCTGCTGGGAGCAGGAGCTGCTGTGTGACTTGCCCCGAGAAACTGTAAAAGCAGCAGAGAACAGAAGAGTGGCCCTTAGATTCAGGTCCCACTTCATGCCATACTTAATTTTCATTACCCATCCTTTGATTTCCAGCAGGTGTTTTCTGGGCTTTCAGCAGGTTTCCTGAGGCTCCTGTGACCCTCCTTCATCTCACCCATATCTTAACAAGTTCCTGTGCTTTGCAGTGTGCCAGTCTGTAAAAGTTCATGGCAGGTTGTGAAGTTTCTGTCAACGTGGATAGGTGGGGAAATATCCCGAGTCTTGCCAGTGGCTTCCTGGTGCCTGCATTCTTTGGCAGAACTCTGGGGTACTTGAAAGTCCATGTTGACATGCAGAGGTGAGATTGGGAATGAAATTATCTGTCTCTTCTTTTTGACTCCCTCTGTAACTGGAAGAGGGGAGATTTAAGTGAGACATTAGGAAGAAATTCTTCCTTGTGAGAGTGGTGAGACACTGGAACAGGTTTCCCAGAGAAGCTGTGGCTGCCCCATCCCTGGCAGTGTTGAAGGGCAGGTTGGATGGGGGTTGGAGCAACCTGGTCTGGTGGGAGGTGTCCCTGCCCATGCAGGGGGGTTGGAACTAGATGATCTTTAAGGTCGCTTCCAACCCAAACCAGTCTGTGATTCTATGTTTGAAATAATGTTCCAGAGGCAGTGGAGTTGTTTAACAATGGACTTGGCACAGGGGTAATGTTGGAGGTGATGGAGTAATTCTCCAAGGGAAAATTGGATGTTCTGAACACCACATCACCCAGTAGGATGAATATAACCTGATAGGTTTCCTTGGTGTCTGGGCTTATTTGTTGTGAGATATTTAACAAGGAAGACACATGGGAACGTGCTACCCATCTGTACTGATTAGTGTGACCTAATACACATTTCCCTAGCACCTGAGACTGTTTTGTTGTGGAATTACTTCCCAAGGCAGGCAGATGGGAACATGTCACCCACTGGTACTGTTTGTGTTTTTAGAACCTGATCAGTCTCAAGAACAAGCCAGCAGCGAGGAGGATGAAGAGGATAGCAAAGAGGAGGAAGAGAAGGAAGATGATGCTGAAGAGCCAAGTTTTGTGATGGGAAGAGGATGAGGCCTTTCAGGGATAGCTGGAAACACTGTTCATTGCTTTACATGCAGGAGCATGAAAATCTTTCATCTCAGCCAAGCAGAACCCATTGGCCTACATTGTATCTGCTTAATGGTGAATGACCTGCAGGCCAGAGAGAGAATGATAGAGAAAAGCCAAATAAGATATTTTTCTTCTTAACTGCTTGTATAACTGCTGTGCAGTCTGCTCTAAGTTTGCTCTAAAGAGTCAGCCATAAGTCTCTGTGACCCTAGAGTTCTTTCTGACATGGCCCAGAGTGTTTTTCTGTCTGAAAGCTAAAACATATCCATTACCTTTTAAGGAAAATGTGACTGTGAGGGCTACATGTTCTGTTAATGTTGAAGCTGGTAGCATTGGGATACATGAATTGAAGGGAAGAGTTTAACCCAAAGTAGAGAAGTGGTCTGTAGCCAGGCTCTTCTGCACTGTGAGTGTTCTGAATTTGGGGTTTTGTATGGGGTCATCTCTAACCCAAAGAAACCAGTTTATGTTCTAGACAAGTTCTACAGATTTTTAAGCAGGATCCCTTTTTTATTGCTCAAACTTTCCCTATTCATTTTCTTCCATGTTTTTTTTTAAATGAATAAAGGGGATGTGTTGGATTGTTTTGTCCTTTTTTTTTAAGAGGATTTTGGTAAAAATAGATGCTTGCAGTGTTGCAGGGAGGCATGAAAAGACCAAGTAATGTGATGCATGTGAAAATACAGAAGAAGGTGTTACCTGCACTTCATTTACTTCTTGCTTGTGGATTGGAACTGTCTTTTCCAAAAGATTATGTCTGTAAAGCCTCAAAATCCTGTGGCAGAAAAGCTTGTGTTCAGCTTCATGTCATGCCACCTGCCTTGCTCTCTGCTTTGAACTTCAGGTTCCCTGGTAGAAATCATAACATCCCTGTATATATTTATTTATTGGTGTTTAAATGAAAAGCAAATGCAGTGGTGGTTTTGTTTGTAACTTAGGTTGTTGTCTTTCCAGTGTATCTTGAATTAGAAGTGCCTGCTCTCTTTCAGACACTCTCATCCCAGGGCCTCAGCATCCAGAATGTGGTGCTACTTCTTATGCCTTTGTTAATGCCAAATTATTTCAAGCAAAAACAATAAAGAGGGAGACTCTCTTTTTGCATTTAGCCTTTGCTGAACAGTGCTGTGGGAAATCCTACATTGTGTCTGAGCTGGCTTTATATGATGGCTTCTCACAGGTACCCAGGCAGCAGGGAAGCAGATGTGATCAAGTGCAAGTGATGTTTGTGTTTGATTCTCCTGTACCTACCCAAAAACTTCAGAGCTGGAGAATTTCTCAGCTGAAAAGCCCATATCCCCACCACCCCCTGGCTTAGAGATCTGTGTGGAATTCTTTTCTGCTCCATCTCCACAGAGGCAGGAGCTTCAGAGTAGGTTGTGTTGGTGTTTTGTTCTGTAGTGCTTAAGATGCAGAATGGATGTTCTGCAGCTATTGGTGTTTTCCCTGTGGAGGGATGAGTTGGGAGAACTTCTTCCCTTGAAGCCCCCCTTAGGGCAGGTGAACCTTTTTGATGGGTCTGTGTCATGGGATGGGCCATAAACATGTTGTGATGTTTCTTTGCTCGTGTGGACAGAGAAGTGAGTCTCACAAAGACTGTTCTGCCTTTGAGCTGGGCAGCCTTCTCAGCTGGGTAAATAACTGTAGAGCAGATGTTGCTGCCCTTCTCAGCTGTGAGGAAGATGGACTTGAGTTTGTCTTGATGAATTCAACTGAGGTTGTGCAGCCTCATCCTGCCTCCTTGAGATGCCATCAGCACCTGTGCTGAATTGTTCACACCCTCCATTTTCTAGGAATGCTGAGTTTGTTGGAGAAATCCTTGAAAAGGAAGGGGAATCTGTTGCTGAAGGTGATGTCTGCCTTAGGTCTGCCTTGCTGGGGTGGCTTGAACGTGGCAGTAGGAGCTGGATTGGTAGGTGTTGCCATGACTGCTGAAAAATACACTGTGTTGTGGTTGTTCCTGTCAGCTCCACATCTTCCAACACAAAGAGTGAGCCTCTGAAGGGGAGTTTCTTCCTTCAGACAAAATTCAAGTACTCTGTGACCTCAAAAACAAGGAAAACATGCTTGTGGAGTAAGAAGAGGGAAGTGCTCCCACGCGTAGTGAACTGGGGAACAATTCTACAGTTGCTTCCTATTCTAAACGTGGCACTGAAAAAGCTGGAATAACCTAAAGGCTTTAACCTGCTTGTGTTACAATTCCTGCTCTGGATTCCTTTCTGGAGGAGTCCCTCTCCTTTCTCTGATGGAGCCTCATCTCCAGGGGCTCAGGTTTTTGCTGATGTCCCGTTTATAGGTTGTTTGTGCACGTGTGGGACCCCAGGGACAGCAGGTTAGTGTTTGTGACTGCAGAGGTGAAAAGAGGTGTGTTTGTCTCCTCGGTACGTTTTTAGGAATCGTTTTCCTTTGTCTTTTCCTTCCCCCAGGCAGAAGGGGGAAGATGGGATTCCCCCCCTGTGATCCGGCTGACCCCTTGTGCTGCCTTTCAGCATTTCCCCGGGCAGGAATTCCCTCCCCTCTCCCTTCAGGCTGCCCCTCTCCTTGCTCCTGGATGGGTTTTTCAGGATTTCCTG